CTTTGGTTGTGAGAGTTGGGTCCTGAATCAAAAGCATACAAGTATGGTGCAAAGTATGGAAATGAAGTACCTAAGAAAAGTCTTGGGATATATGCGGAAAGATAAAATAAGAAACGCTGACATTAGGGAACAACTTCAGGTGCAGTCAGTGCTAAGCAGGATCGAAAACCGGCAGTTGGAATGGTTTGGACGCCTGAAGAGGATGAATAATGATAGACCAGTCAAGAAAGTTTGGGAAGCCAAGAGACAGATAAAAAGAAGAAGAGGTAGACCACCAACAACATGGGACCAGGGTATCGCACGAATATTGGAGTCGAGAGGGATCACCAGAGCTGAGGCGACAACTATGGCAAAGAACAGGAAAAAATGGTCCACATTTGTACATGGCGAGAGACAGTAGTTTTTAGTATATGCCTACACCTTCGGGTAGAAAGGCAAAGATTATATATATATATTCTTGAATGGCTACGAAGACTTATTATACATTCAAAAACTTGAATGTCATATGGCCCCAATTGTAACCATCCATTCAAAAAAACGTCATCAAAGCTGACTGAGCAAAAAAAGATGTATTTTTGTTAATAATCTTAATTTTAATCTGGTTTAATTGTAAAGGATGTCAGAGTATGCGATGGATACTTTTAACGGGATATTTCTTCAATTTTATCTTCCACATCGTTGAGGAGTTTCAAAAATTGATGTTTTTAGATGATGCCAGAGAAATTCTACGTGTTCAAAATGATAATACGTTCTTAGAAAAATTCGTATTCAGTGTTCTATTAAAAAAATAGGACCAACAATACTCCTTCTGCTCGCAGTTGCCCATATTCCAATTTTTTGCGGGTATTTTGAATTTCAATATAAAAGTGAAGGTTGTCTGCACGCCAAAGCCTCATATTTTGGGAGTAAACATAGGTTAAAAGAAGGAACCAAGCCTCATGAGTGAAAAAAAACTTTTCGTAGACAGTATCAGTTTTATTAAAATTGTTAATAAACCATTGGCATAACTGTAGTGTTAGAGGTTCGTCCGCTCTGAGAATTTCATGTCTGGATTGCAGACGACATGGATGGAGCTCCAAATCATTTTCAAAATTCGTTGACACGATATATAGGGTATATTCACTTGTTGGCTCAGACTGTTAATTGATGTTCTTGGATTGTCCGTTATCACTTGCCTAACCATTTCAACGTTTTCTTATGTCCTTACTCTGGGTCTGCTACTTCCTTGTCAGATTGACGCTTCCAGTTTGCAGATGAAAATTAAAAAAACGTTTCCTGCCATCATGCTGTCTTATCGAATATATCCAGTTTTCACAGAAACACGCCTTCATTAAAACGAATTTCATCATTTATTTTACAAATGTGACAGCAACTTAAAAAAAACAAAGTTTAGCTTCGACATAATCGCTATTTCCTTCTCTCTCACACACTATTAGTTGCTCAGAAAAGCAGAGAAAATATGTAATGAAAACGTTACTTCAAAAAAAACACAAACATTACATTAGCGCATTCGCCATATTTGAGATCGTTACGTTTTTTTAACTGTTGGCGAAGGATCCGGTGAGAACGTATATACGTTGATTCACAACGGGACTCTTCCAAAAAAGAAAACCTAGGCCGAATGACCATTACAATAATATGCGACATTGATCAATGATCCACGATGATTTACGTGATCCTTGATTTTTTTTTGTAAATTATTGTGGCTGTAACAGTAACATAAACATCTCATACCACAGCCTCACAAAAAAAATTTTGGAACTGCTATCGAGAGTACTGTATCCCTATGTAATTTTCGACGCTGATTGCGAATCCGAAGTAAAAAAAATCGTACACCCCCAAAATCAACCCTAGCGCTAAAAAACAATTAAATTTCGACGAACGACGAAAGCTTACGATGCCGTTATTTTAGAAACAGTATGTAACTGCATTAGTCTCGATGCGATGCTCAAAAACTACCCCCATAGAGTGGCGGAAACCACCCTTAAATTTAAATTACAGTTGCTTAGATGACTCCTAAAAAAGAATTATCTGAAAATACTATTGCTTATTTATATGACCTCTAAAAAGAATCATCTGAAAATTCAGAAAAAAATATCTATATAATTTTCTGATATAGTTTTTTGACTCGCCGGTAGGTGGCGCATTGACAACAGCATACGAGTAGTTTCTGTTATTACCTTTTTTTCTCTATGATATCACTGCCGGTCGAGCTAGTGGATCTAATTTAATTAAGACTACGGGTAAATTTTTGCTACTTCATAATATGGGTACTTTTGAAGTACGTTGTCAAAGATTCTTCTTAAATAAGAAAATGCAGATGTTTTGAGGTTTTCTAAAAGGTTCTGCAACTGTTTTTAAATTTCTTATTATGTGAGGAGTAATGTTCACCCTCTCATGGATGGCACTGAATGACTTTGATGCAATGCAAGTATTCACCTCCAAACTTCAGTGCTGCATACATTATAGCCAATTATTGTAGCATCGATTAAAATAGAAATCACGACAAAATTGTTTTCCCTATTTTACATGTAATTTAAATTCAGGGGTGGTTTCCGCCACTTTATGGGGTAAATTTTGAGCATCGCATCGGAACTAATGCAGTTACTCACATTTTCCAAAAAAAGCTGGGCATCGTAAGCTTTTTTCGCAATCACTGCATTTTTTAAGTTTCTTGTTGTATGAGGGGTAGTTTTCACCCACTCATGGGGCTGATTTCCAATGGAAAGTAGTGTATTTCTGCGTTATGTACTTGAATGTTTATATTCAATTAGAATTAATGAGATTTAAAACTATTCGAGAAGCTTTAAGTCAATTTACCGTTTTTTAATGCTAGGTGTTGATTTTGGTGGTGTACGATTTTTTTTAACTTCGGATTCGGATTTAAGGTCGAAAATTACATAGGGATACAGTTGTCTCGATAGCAGACCCAAAAATTTTTTTGTGGGGCTATGTAATTTGTAACATCAAAATACTTAATCATGCCCAGTACATCTGAAGGTCTTTCTTTCTATCCATATTAGATTTTTTGTTCAATTTTCCCAATGTAACTCTGTAGTTTAATTGGCAAATACCTTTAATTGCTAGGAAAACAGTTGGTTATACTCGTAGTGCCAATGTTTGCTTAAACTGATCCCCATCCGTTTCTGCTTTAACAGACTCTCGTCTCTAGTTTTCCCTTTATTTATATTACAAAATGGTTTGTCTTTGGACGCCTTTATAATTTCAAAGGAACATCCCTATTACCGTTTGCGCTAGATACTTATTATCTGTTTTATCGCCTCCACTGCCTTATAAATCCCCATTGTAATTAATAAAGAACCATAAGCCGCGCTATTCCGAAAAGAACAAAAAAAGAAGAAGCGAGGAAATAAAGTTAACGTCTATTCTTAATTATGATTTGTCTAACCCCCAACGAGTTTCGCGGCGAACTCTAGTTATCCTTCAAGCGGCCTAAAGTTCCGGCCAGTGGCGACTCCTGAAATATAATGATTGTTTTTTGTTTATTTACGCAACAAATCCATTTTGCAATAAATGGTGAAAACGTTCTTACTGAAATTTTTGCAAACTTTGTATTATTACTATTAACCGTAACATTTGTTTCAAAAAATATTTTTAAAATGACTTTCTGGAGGCCATTTAATACAAAAGAAAAGTTAAATAATGAAAATATTGAGGACAAGGTAACATAGTCATATCGTGCAAAGCCAAAATTTTTTATAGTTGCTTATATAGAGAAAATAGGCAAATGACGAATGACGAAAATGGCGAAAAATAATCAGATATTACAATAAGAAAAAAGTACGAAAAAAAGACAAAAAGACACATTCCGATTTCTACTTAGTACTTTTTATTAGTATATAGGTTGTTATAGCTCACTCTGTTAAAAGAAAAACTAAAAAAAACGAAAAAAAAAAAAAAACTGACTACGGTTCAAAAGACGTTATCAGAAGAATAGTTTATAAAAGTTAGTAGCTAGATGTTTATTATTGTCGATTTAGAAACTATAAAATATCATTAGAGTACGGATTCAAAAAAAAAATATAAAAAAAAATGAAATTGTCTATTGTAGAAATTCAACAAGAATAATTGTCTAAAATCCAACAGTACTGGGAATCCAAAAAGGGCCGTAATATATCTTATATCGATAATAAATACGCCGTGTTCAAGAGAAAAACGTATCATAACTCTGACAATGGATTCATACCTAACGCACTGGTCCTGTCAGTCAAAAATATAACACGGTCTTCTGCTGACTACCATGAAGGCGTGATCGTAGATTTTTTTGAAAAATTATTCGCTGAACAACTGTTACTTATTAGTCTCCAAAATGTAATTATCGTTATGGATAATGCTTCTTATCCATAATACAGCTCCACAAAAAAATTCGTAAATAATTTTTCTGGGACCTCACCTACCTGACTATATGTATAATCGACCTTCGGCTGAAACCGAATCTGATGTCCAATTACCTTCGTCATACCAGGTTTTTTTCTAACCTCAAAAATAGGCTAAAAATGTTAAAACTCAACAACATCAAAACAGAAACCCAAACAAACTCCAGAACCTCATTACTCCAAAATCCCATAAACCAACAAACAAACGATTTTTTTTGAGGTTAGGAAAAAAACATGAGTTGATGGGGTTTTTTGGACATCGGATTCTGTTTCAGAATGGACGATTATATATGGTAAGGTAGGTCAGATCCCAGGAAAAATATTTTCATTTTTTTTTAGCTGCGTAATACTCTTTATATACTCAAACTAACATACTATATTTTACTTTCAATAATAATAATTTATTATTTAAAAGTGTCTACAAAACGGAAGTGTTACATGTTACATTAATTGCTAGTATCATACTCTTAAACGATTTTTCAAATATTGTAGTCTGCACTGCCTTGAAGAGTAAATATCGGGCGCGTAATCTAAAAATTATACGTGTTTAAAGTCGATTCAGCTGTGCTCATTTATTTTTTTTATATCGTTTCCAAGTTTGACGCGGCGGATAGCTCTGTGGGTAAAGCGCCAGGCCTGAATGGATATAAGATGCAATTTTTTACTGTTCGAGACCTATTCACTGCGCGGGTTCGAATCCCGTCTGTGGCAACTGGCACCTGTCACAGGATTTGGTTGTGTGTCCTAGATCTTTTCCATGTGTACTTTCCCTCTACTACAATCGTTGTGATTCCTAGAAGGAGAATGCCAATTTCATTTGTGATTTTATTTTATTTAAACTGAGATTGGAAATACTATACGAGACAACATTTTCGGCGCCGCGCATAGATTTCTCAAACAATCTGTGAGAGTGTCTGTCGGCGAGCCGTCGCTGTTTCCAAGTTTCTTCTAGAAGGAGAACTTGATCAATTTCTATGGTGTGATTTTATTTATTTAAACTGAGATTGGAAATACTATACGAGACAATATTTTCGACGGCGGCGGATAGCCCGACGAAGGGTTTCAGATTTCTCACACAATCCGTTACAGTGTCTGTCGACGAGCCGTCGCTGTTTCAGGTTTCTTCTAGAAGGAGACCGTCAATTTCAGCGGATTGCCAGACGAAGGGTTTCAGATTTCTCACACAATCCGTGACAGTGTCTGTCGACGAGTCGTCGCTGTTTCAAGTTTCTTCTAGGAGGAGACTGTCAATTTCTATGGTGTGATTTTATTTATTTAAACTGAGATTGGAAATACTATACGAGACAATATTTTCGGCGGTGGCGGATAGCCCGACGAAGGGTTTCAGATTTCTCACACAATCCGTGACAGTGTCTGTCGACGAGTCGTCGCTGTTTCAAGTTTCTTCTAGGAGGAGACTGTCAATTTCTATGGTGTGATTTTATTTATTTAAACTGAGATTGGAAATACTATACGAGACAATATTTTCGGCGGTGGCGGATAGCCCGACGAAGGGTTTCAGATTTCTCACACAATCCGTGACAGTGTCTGTCGACACTTGCTGCTTGCCAAAAGGTCCGGCCGCGCCCCCGCCCCGTCACGTGCCCGCTTCATAAATGTTATATAGGGGCTCTTCTCCACTTCATTCTCGCGGCTCTTCGCAAATAAACGTGTACCTACCTGAAGATTACTAGATTGTGTCAGATTGCGTTCACGCCCCTCTGAGACGCGCCTTCGCTCTCCCCTCTCCCCCTGCTTTGTCGGCCGGCAAGGCCTTCCTAACTTCCGGCCGCGCAAAAGAATTATATCGTTTTTTGCGTACATCTCTTTCTCGCCTCGGATTGTAACGGGGCGCGGAGGTTCCCGACCGATGCGGGATTACCAGATGGTGCGAATTTATCACAATGTGGCCGGTTTTTTTTTCATTCCGGCGTTGCGGAATGAGATGCTGATTTTTCAACGGAGAGAACAGCTCAAACAAGTTGTGTAGCCTTTTTAAACGCGCTTAAAGTTTTACTAATACAATAGTATGCTACACGGAAAATCGTTAAACACAGTTCAGGATAGCGAGGAATGAATTGCATTGTAGTTCCCAGCAATCATCAAACGAAAAGGACAATGGAGGGACAATGGAGTCCCAAGTACAGAGAAACTGGTAAACACGAAGTTCCAAAACAGAACAGGTAGTAGAGGAAGTCTGGGAAAATATACAACGCTATTTCAGGCAGAACTGGTCACAATCTAGTCCTGTGCAATGGAAATAATAAGTCAGGGAATTGTCAATTGATATATTTTCTGATAACCAAGTGATGCTGAAACTCCACACAATCAACTCCATGTAAATCACTTCAAAATTAGTATAGGACTGCGTGAAAGCGTTGAAACAGCTAGGAAGATAAAACAGAAGACTGGCTTGAGTATCAAAATATAAACGACATAAAGACAACGAAAATGATGACAAACCCACTAAAGACGCTTCAAACCAAAACCTTTCTATGGTATAGCAAAGCCATGCATAAAAACGTCAATTTGTAAATGGATAAAGGACAAGTCACTGGAATGGCGGACAAACTTTCCAAGACAAAGACAAGCGGAACAGTTCATAAAAGAATGGTTGCTCAAATTCAATTCAAATCAGGATTATGTTTACTAACAGGACATTGTCGACTAAAAAGACATATGTGTCTAACTGGTCTGGCAGATGCAGATTCTGCCTGAAAGAAGAGGAAACCTCATTCTCAGTTCACATCAACTCCATGTAAATTACATCAAAATTAATATACAACTACGTGAAGGCGTTGAAACGGCTTGGAAGATAAAACAGAAGAAGGCCGGCAAACCCACCAAAAACGCTTCAAACGCCCTAATAGGACCAAAACCTTTCTATGGTATGGCAAAGCCATGCATAAAAACGTCAATTTGTAAATGGATAAATGGACAAGTCACTGGAATGGTGGTTAAAAGACAAAGACAGGCGGAACAGTTGATAAGAGAATTATTGCTCAAATTGTCAGGATTATGTTTACTAACAGGCCATTGTCGACTAAAAAGACGTACGAGTCTAACTGGTCTGGCAGATGCAGATTCTGCCTGAAAGAAGAGGAAACATCATTATCAGTCCACATGTTGTCATTTTGAAGGGCTAACAAGATTAAGGTTTCAAATTCTATGGAAGGAAAAGCCGAAGACTAATAACTACATAAAAGAGCCCCATATAGAGGCCCATCGAGGCCCATATAGAGTCTGATAAAAAGGACCAAGCTAGGATATGATGCTCTAGAATTAATGGAAGTGCTGCGGAAGAATTTAAGAGATCGCACTGGCTAATAAGACTATATCCAGTACACAATTTTTAAACTCAAATCTTAAGACTTTCATCGTCACTTCACTTGCTCTACGAGTACACGAACGCGTCCTCTAATTTTAACCACCCATTTTAGACACGTATTATACGATAAAATGTATTGATGTGTATGATGGTTGTACTTTTACGAGAATATAGTAAAATATCTTCAAAACATCACCACGAGATCGAATCCAACGCCTCCACCGAGAACGAACGATCTCTCCTCGCCAGTTCCGCACGTTTCCGAGTCGAGGACACTAACAAAATTCAACAATTCAACGGAACAACGCTCGGCGGCACAGCCAGAACTTCGAAAATAAACTACTTACCAAATAAGAAAGAGGGCTTACGGCCAGGAAGAGAGGGACTTAATATATTAAGAAAGTTGAACCCTGCTCAAGGAGAGACGCACCTTTGAGCGAAGGATATAAAAAGTTTTACTGCCGAACGGGACGTCTTAACGGGGACAACTTATCCCCGGTTTTTATTGGAGGTACCGGTAGGACTATTTATTTATTGTGCGGCTTCCTTTTATTAGCGGATGTAAAGCCTGGAATATAGTAAATGCTTAGCGTTGAAAATAAATATTTATGGCGTGTGTCCGTGCATTAGGTACTAACATTTCATACGGGGTAAGTTGAGTTGTCAGAGTCGTATACATATATCGTAACGAGAGCCTCTCTCTGAGAGCGGTGATAGCCTGGAAGAATTGTCACGACGCGCAGGGAATAACCCGGACGGATCTAGGAGTTTGACCGCATCGCATCGGCCCCCGACTGATCAAGAACTGGCTTCGCAGAATTTTGGTTTGTTTTAAATGCTTTGACATCACCACTTTGTGAGTTATGACGTCGTACGCAGTTTTTTTAATTGCTTGGCATATTTTTAACTTTTTGAATAGTACTTTTCAACGCCTCTTCAATTTCGCACTTAATCTTGTTACCTTTAACAGATATTAACATATTTGAAAAATCAAGAATAATGTTAACACAGATTGTAAAAACTGTAAATATTGTAAAATGAACTTGTAAATTGTAAAATAAAAATGTTATCCATCAGCTTGTTGACTCGCTCCCAACTTATGTCGGAATTTATTTCCAACATTGTTTATAATATCAGGTTTTATCCGTCTCATGCCTGTTGTTTCAGTTCTCTTTCGTGTTTATGTTATATTACGTAAATTATTAGGCCCCATTTAAAAAATAGTATATTATGCAACGATCATGTAATGATGGCTGTTAATACACGAGCAGAAAGTTAGTTACGATTGTGAGTGTATTAATAGCCATTACGTGAGAGTTGCATACGCAATTTTTTTTTCTACGACCAGTAAACAAACAACACACTTAAAAAATTGTATTTAACAAAAATGGAACATATTAACGTAATATTAAAGGAACTGATTATCTGGTGCTTCGTCTATAAAAGTTCTGATTTCTTCTGGAGAAAACGTTTTGGATTTCTTTCATATATATCCTTCCGATTTACGCTTTGAAAAAGTATGTAACTTCTTATATTTATATATGTCAATGCTATGTTTAATGTTTAATAAAGTTTTTATAATAGAGTAATGTGTCCACAATGTTGATGATTTCATTTTTTCAGCAAGTTCTTGAAAATAAGCAATTAAAACATTCTCTGAAAATGAGGCAACATTATTTGTATTTCTCCAGTCCATAAACTGTCCATATAATTTTTTCATAGGTTTCAAATCATTCTTTTGATTTCTCCAGTAATATATTCTCGAATGCATTTTTCGCCTTTTCTCGAATATCTGGAGGAGTGGTAGATAATTCTTCACTATACTATCACTTATGTTGTAATCGGACATGGTTTTTGATTTAAATATTCTCAAAAAGTTGCTATAAAAACTTTCGTAAACAACTGTCAAAGTCAAATCACCAATTTTCGCATTTTCGCAAAAGGCTACTTGATTGAAAAAAACATGGAATTCGATTGACTGTGAAATCTGTATCATAATGAAAATTTGTATTATAATGAACCTTATTATGAAACTGTGAAATTTTACTTAATAAAAACTAAATAGGTATATACGTTTTTTTTTTAATAAAGCTAAACATTTTCTGAGATAAAACGTACACTCAATCAGCAAAAGACCTGTACACCCTCAATTATAAAGGCCACAGCGCTGGGGATCACAATTTTCGCATTTTCGCAAAAGGCTACTTGATTGAAAAAAACATGGAATTCGATTGACTGTGAAATCTGTATCATAATGAAAATTTGTATTATAATGAACCTTATTATGAAACATGCAGAAGACATATAATTTGAAAATTATAAAATGGACGTAGGAAAAAATATTTTCTAAACAACTCCATAGGAAAAAATCCATTGGAGTTAA